CCAGGCAGCGTTGGACCCGCCTCCTTTAAAAGTTACGTCAGGCTTGACTCAACCCCCACCCCCATACTATTTACAAAAAATTAGGGGCGCTCACCCTTTTTGATTAGCATTTTCTCCAATAAAATCCGCGCCTTCCGCCGATTCAAGCCTAAAGTAAGATGCGGCTGAACCCAGAAGCGGATCCAGCAATCTGGCAACACCGAATTCCCTTCATTTAAACCCATGTTAAATAATCGATTCTTGTCGGAGCACCTGGCCCCTCTAAGAATCGATATATTTCCATAAGTTTAAATGAAGAAAAGCAGTGTTGCCAATTTGCTGGATCCGCCCATGGCTTAACCCCTGTGTCCGCCCTCCGTCTTATCATTCATCTGCAAGTAAATATGAGGCACCCCTCGACTCGCTTCTTTTCTCGGAGTCTGATGTCTCCTCTTACAAAATGTTCACTTGTGGCGTACTATCGTTTTTGAAGCGAGAAGCTTTAAAAACGCATATTTTTTACGCAGCTTGTGAAGTTAGGCGTGTACTTCAGACCTCCTGATGCGCTCATCGTGATTTTAAAGCAATGATTTTTTGAGCGTGATTTTCTCCGAGAAACAGCTCTACTTTTTACTTGAGCTAAAGTCTGATTCAGGTGCACTTCAGCCCCACTAAGAAGTGGCGATTCTAGATCACGCACGACTAACCCATTCAGTGCTACCTATTTTCGTAGCCGCGACCCCCAAAATCGCATGCCACAACTCGAAATGCGTCACCCGTTACCTTATTCCAGCCCCACTTGCGGCCACCCGCGGATGACTGTAGGTCAAGCCGAAACTAAATCGGTGCGTCGCACAGTGGATCGAGTCAATTCGAGAGGTCGTACATGAAATTTTTGACTAAAACTGCAAATTTTGATGTTTATTTCGTCACATTTTCAATTTTCAGGGGTGCTTTGAGATGAAAATTTCACGAGAAAACCAATGGACCTACTTTTAGAACCTCAAAGTTTTGTTTAAACGGAGTTATAATCGTTTAAAGTCTCCAAATTTTGTCCGACCTCTCCTTTAGAATCGATGCAGTGTGCGTCGGGAGCGGGCGAGGTGCGTCTCGCATGAGGAGAGAGTGAAATTGTTCCGATTAACCTTGCCCGTGGTCTATGAAATCCCGCCGCCGTCTCCATGCGTCGCCGCCAACGCGGACGCCGGCCGAGATGAACCATGTGAGCCGTGAGCCATGAGTGCATTGGCCCAGCATCGGGCGCCGGCCGTGCTGCAGTGGAGCCGGTCCGTTCTGTGCGGTTCTGACACTCTCGCAGACTCGCAGACTTCGGAAGTCGTCGCACTTCGCACGGTCATGAAATATTCATGAACTCATTCCCGGCACACTTTTCAGCCTCGATGTCATGTCGGATCGCGGATATATTCGTCATTTTCCACCCTCGATACCCCACTAGGAAAGCTCCTCGTCGAACGAACAATCCGGATCTGGGTACTGTGATAAGGGATGCAATCATCCGTCCGTTAGAATTTACAATCAGTAAAAGTTTGGTCGCTCAAAAAGGGATTAATTTCAAAAGTCACATAGGCAAATTGTCGGCCTCCTATGGTGTAGTGGCTGTAGCACTAGCTCTATGATCGGGAGGTCCCGGGTCCGATTCCCGGCCAGGCGACCCGAGTTTGATGGTCTCAAAAAATGGTTGCCTGGGACTGATTGTCAGTACTGACGGAGGGGGAGGGGGGGGGGGGGGGGTACCAGAACGCAAGGATTAGCCCTTGTGAGCTATTTGAAGTAGAAAAAAAAGAGGAAAAAAAACATGTCACACTCTTTATAGTGTTCAATTCTGTTCATCGCCCTGCTCTCTTTTTATTAGTGGTATCGAGAAAATTCAGTTCATTGTCGTCCAATCATCATTTTACCCCAGAAAAATTAATTAACCATAAAAATCAACATTGCGCGGACGAGTCATGACATGGGCCACGTGATGAGCGAGGTTTCAGATGAAGAATGGCAAAGACCAAACACAAGTTGCTAAAGCTCAAATTTAAAAAATAATTGGATAGGCTAAAAATCGCGATGTATATCGACAAATCTGGCAACTGAGGTTCCTAAGAATAAGTCATTTTGCGTAGATACCTGCACAAACATACCTCGCTGACATAACTTTCTTCACTGTGCTGTCAAATTGATCACATTCCACTCTGCGGGACGCACATTATCCAAGTAGTGGCACTGTGACGAGTAGTTGCATTGTTCGGCAAACCTGTCACACACCCCGTTGAGGTTGTACAAACAACGATATATTTGTAATTCATCTCACCGGCGCTTCTTCTATTTCCCGCTAATTCATCTCTATATCATCAGCGCCGCGCCGCTTGTGTTTAGTTTTCGATGACCTTATGTCAAGACCCATTGACTAAACAGGACTGGTGTCTCGAGCTCGTCGAGTCTTCGGAGTGCAGGTTCGATGAAGAGGGAGTTGTGACGTCAAAGTATAATACGTTTATGGTTTTTCCAGAAAAAGATTTGCTGTAAGATGATTCGATGGACGTCAATTTTTGGGTCAGAACGACATGCGATATATCGTATCGATTGATTCCATGTTCTCAACTACTTGTCATTTTTATCGAATTTTGTGATCGCATTTCTGTTCTCACGAGATTAAAACATTCACTTACCAAAGATAAACAAATTCAATGTAATGAAGGCAGATTTTTTAGGGGAGGAATATATCATTTGATATTGATTTCGAAACGGCATTCGCATGGAAAATTTTCCCTTTTAAAAAACTCTGCCTTTATAACGCGCTGAATGTGTTTGTCAAATTTGGTAAGCGAATTTTTCAGTCTCGTGACAACAGAAATGCAATCTTAAAATTCGATAAAAATTACAAGCAGCTGAAAACATGGATCTATTTGATGCGATAAAGTCTCTCCTATTTTTCCAATACAACATTTATTATCCTCAAAATTTCATTAATTTATTGAAAAAGCCAATATCTGTAAATATATTTGTAAGAATCCCGGGTTCGCTTGGTATAATGGATCATGTTTTTAAGAACTTTTAAATGAAAGCACCGACTTTCTAATAGTGCCTATACGGACGACAATGGCATCGATACGATTTGGAGATGCGCACTTCAGGCTTGTTGCCTACTTTCAATCAACTCTTTTAAAATTCAACGCAACCGTCGAATGAGTTTTGTGAGCGAATGGCAACGCGACGTTGGTTCGGTTTACAGCGACGACGCGACAGTGACGTCACCTAACGGTGGATTACGTAATACGAGACGCTTGCGACGAAAGTGAAGGTTGGAGGTCACTCATTACGGACTTTTATAGTTTCGGTACCATTTTAATTACTCTTCGATCGGCGACACCTCGTTTTGTCTCTCGTTTCATGAGTAATGAATAGCGTTAGCGTTATGCATGCACTTGCTGGCTGTACCCCCGCTGGAGAATGTTTTCGCATGACCGAGAAAGCCACTGCTGGAAGTGCTGAAGCGGGGTTTGAAGTCTTTGATTAAGTATTTTTGATCGATTTGTAGTCGCGAAGAATTGTTTAATTTGGAAGATCTTTTGTCCGATGAAAGTTCTTTCACCTCCGTTGAATCTTTTGAGCATTGACTTCAGAGGAAATATACTTGCCTAGATGACAAAGATATCCTGAAACAACTTATGAAGCTATGAGACGTATTGTCGTCCCTGTGACGTAAAAGAGCAAATATCCCTCTTCAATTGAGATCTATACTAGAGTACCTGTATAGCAAGAGTTGAGACAGATTTGAAACTCCGAAAATCCATCAGGCCTTCACCGCGATGCCTCTGCGAATAAAGTTAGGGCCCAGAAATGCAGCCAGCCTATGAATTTCAATTATCCAGATGCGATTTACTATTACAATTATTACGAACCATTGTTTATAAAGCGCGTATTTGACTTAGTTTTTGCATAAATTTACTAAGTTTTGCGGAAGAACGCTCATTTACGAGTATGTGCATTCTTAGCCCTCTTGGTTAGAATAAAATTGAAATCTGCAGACTAGCAGTGAAATTTTGTGCGTTAGAAGTTGGTTAGAAGGGTGGCTGCACTTTTGGGCCCTAATCCCTCTATGAAGCGATCTGTCCATACTCTCGCTGTGTAGGTACTCTAATCTATACTGCCGTGCTAAGTAGCATTCGAGTGTTACCAAATTTCCTTTGATAAAATTATTATTTTTAAGGAAAGATATGAATATTTGTCCTTGAAATTTTCAGGGACTTCAGGTGAAACTCCGAACAAAAAAAATTGAAAAATTGGAAGGAAAATATTCATAAGTTTACCAGGAAACTTGTGTTTTATCAAAGTTAATGTGGCAACGCCTAAATGCTCATACGGTGTTTTTGCTTCGTATGACAGTATAAAGCAAAGAGTGTTTTGGATAACAAAGTTGATCTTTAAATGAACCGAGTTTATCAAAAAGAAACTAATCCACATTTTCGAAAAAAATTGAGTCAAGAATGTTTTTGAGTTCGACTATATAGCCGTATATTTTTTCCTGCCAAAAACTGAAATTCGAGAAACAGAAATTGTTTTGTGGATGGAGGGGTTAAAGTTTATATTCAACATTGAGCCTTATGCAGGAATAAAACTTCAAACCTCTTCTTCTCAGTTTCAACTTAATGTGGGTTAGTCCCTCTCTGATGAACTCTGTCCAAATATAGAATAAGAATATTTACGGAGAAAATACATATAAAATACATGAAAAATACACATTAAATATTTTTAAAATGATCATGGTGCATTCCAGGTATTTCTAATTTTCCTCTTGTGGGAACAATATTGTTTCGATTCCAGTAACAGTTTCATCCCAGTCAGCATTTTTACCGCAACTGAAAAAATCGTTACCACAAAAGTGATATTGTAACTACGACAAGAAAAGTAGGTAGGACCTGTACCTCATTATGAGCATTGTAAGAATAAGGAATTCTTTTCTCCCTGTGTGTGTGACCATTTGCTAACTTAGAAATTCCTTTTTTTTTCAGGTTTATATCGTGTCTACAAGCCACAGTCATGTTCGGACCAATCGTTGGAATTGTCCGCGAGAACTATGCAAAAATACTCCGGGAAAGAGTCTTTGGTATGTTATTCTTTGATATGTCTGAAATGTTCAATAAATTGATAGAAAAAGGATACCAAGGAAAAATATTTTCAATTTTAAACTAATCTTAAGATAGTCACATACATGACATAAGCGAAAATTTCGCTTAGTTATGGTCAAAAGTCCTTTATTAAGAACCAGTATCCTCTTTGTTTAGTCTCGGTTGACCTTTACGATTGTATTTCCAATTAGACTATATCTTACGAGCACAAAAATCTCTTCTGCATACTTGCCGTCATTTGCGTTGACTAGCCGATAGTCGATCAAATCTTTCTTTCTTAATTATTCTGATCCATTTAGCTTTCCTCATTATTGCAGCTTTACCTGTACGTGGATACACTATCTTCGCCCTATAGTCACTACTGAGGGCCGATTATGAAATCCGTAACGCTAAAATGCAGATTTTGCCCCCTCTTCCAACCCCTAGAAATTACGCAACACTCAGCTCGCCCCCCCCCCCCCGCAAAATAGCGATTTGGATAAATTTTGAATAAAGTATTGTCAATTTGCGTTAAGTTTTCGTAAATTTTGATGGGCTCATGATCATTCTTGTGTTACGTAACGTAACTCTGAATGCCTTAGTCCCCTGTTAAACGCCCGTAACGCAGGCTCTAACCGCTTTTCTCTGAAGCTTTATATGTGTTTAATGAACGGCCCCTGACGGCGGTCGACATCTTTGAGAATTAATAGATAGTGTTCGTGTCTACTGAAACTAACGATAACTCCTGTGTGGAACTAACTGTGAGCTCATGAAAACATCACGAAAACTATCTCAAGAATTCACGCATGATAAACCGTAAAATATGATGCACAGATCCGATGCCTTGCGCTTTGATGAAGTTCGATCGTTCCACAAAGTATAAATGGACTGCCTTCAGCAGAAAAAAACCAAGCCACATCAGCTACTGCCGAATTTAACCGGGCACTTTAATTTTTTACGAGAGAACGTTTGCGCGGATACCTCCGAAAATTTTAAGGAATTTGCTTCGTATACTTGCAGAAAATTAACTGAAATTCGCACTAGTATCCGCACAACCATTTTCATGTAAAAAATTAAATTGCCCACTTAAATTTGGCAATAGCTGATGTGGTTTGGTTCCTTTCTGCTTAATACGGTCCAAATGAGGTCGATGCTAGTGCCTTTTAGGAGAATCAGCAAATTGCTCAATGACTTGAAAAATAAACTGGAATCTGAAATTTCGAGCTGACGCCGCAATTTTCCCGCTTCGCAGTTCATCCGCACGTCGGCATGTGTTATTAGATCACTCTGTACTAGGTTTTTTCAAATGTAGGTGTCCTCCGAAATGTAGTTCCAACCAATAGAAAGTGCCAAATCATTGTTTCCAGGAGTACCGTGATAGTTTATAAACTTCAAGTGTAGTTCCTATTAGTGTGTGTATTTTTGATATTGTAAACATGGTCCTCCAAAATGCATCCCTTCAGCCCATGAAACCACCGCCTCGCTTGGATGGTACGTTTTCATTTCATATAAGAAGCTGTTTAGATGGGTTATGCGATCGGTTCGCTCGTGGCGGTAATTTATGTGGAGCAAAAAATGCTCACTCAATTTTAAGACCTAAAATAGCCAAAGTCCTTTTTTTAAAAAATAGAAAGGGGGGGTCATTTTTTTAAAATATTTTTAAATTATGAGCCTCTTGACTTTTTAGCTTTCTAGACAAAATAAATTGTTTCATAATTCTTGTTACACCCTATAAAAATTGGTCCGGTGGTTGAATTTTTCTCATGTTGCAGTGAATATTTCCTCAGTCGTTCAACACTAAAATTTGTGTCATATTATTAGGTGGTAGGTTAACTTTTCCAAGTGAAATTTTACATCACTCACGATCAAAGTCAATTCAGCAACCTACCCGATGACACCTTTCTCAAAGAAAATACGCATTAAAACATAAACATCGATTTAATAAAGTAAAAAATACAGATGTATCGATTTTGACTTTCATTACAATGTATTGGCAATGAGGGCTGCGGCGTATCTAGGCGAAACGTCTTATTCTTGGTGAACAAATAGAGCTATGCTCGAGTTGTTGTTTCTTTTTTTCGGATACGGTGACTAGAAACTGCCGCCAGATGCGGAAAATTTGAAAAAGCGCGTACCGAACTACACGAATGGCGCACCAAGGAGTTACTTTCGAACTCTTTTAGTGTTAATTTTGTGACTCTACATCCTTTGAGGGGCTTGGAGAACAAGGCACACAAGTGCAGTTTTTGGTATTCCAAGAAATAAGTGTTTAAAGGTTAAAAATTACATGGAGCCTTACGGCGGAAAGGAAGTTTAAACTCACTTTTTGATGCTTTAAAGTTGGATTCTAGTTGTGAATTTTTTACAGAATATACTTTCCAACTAGTTTTAATTGAGTTCTCGAATATCTCAATTTTTTCAAAAATTGCCCTTGTGTGCCTTGTCCTCTGAACTCCTCGTTTTACCCTCCAAAATTCTATTTACGCGGCTGTATCTCCAGCGTGGAAGAGACCCGTTTGCAGCGACTTGACTAAGATTGAGGGCCGCTCAAAGAAAAGTGTTTGATTTCTTCGTGGGAATTCGAATGCTTGAATTGAGTGGCCATTTGGCAATGATCGTCGCATTCAGATTCAGAACGAGCAAAATCATTCTCAAACTCATGTGAGAGTAACGCGCTAACGCCGTGCGCCGGTAACGGTCGCTCCTCACGCGGGCCGTAATAGCTGATCGCTGCCGGTCGGCGGCGAGCAAGAGTAAACAAATACTGCTCGCGGAGCATCTTCAAATGGACGTTCTGCCAAACGGAACTATGTGCGTTATGACATGAGCCCCGTTATGCACATATTCTGATGGGTCTCAGGGCTCGTGTCTTAATGCAGATGGTTCCGTTTGGCAGTAACACGTCCAAATCGCGCCAAATGATCGCCTGTCTGCGGAATATCGCTAGATTTGTCATGGACTGCATTTTAAAATAGGTAAAGATAGGCAGAACTGGCAACGATGTCTTACAACCTTCTTTTCATTTGTGCTTGCACGTTGCCGTAGTGTGCGAGGCAATGACCCAATTTACATTTTTTTGAGTGCGCAGATAATATACTTTTTCAAAGAATTTCCTCGTGAGCTCATTTCGTTGTTGTCGTTCATTGATGTTTTTGGGTGACCGTAGATAACGCACCGGCCATAAATCGTCGGAGTGTAGAGCAGAGTACTTACTTACAAAGTGCGACATGTCTGTGCCGCACTCTGATTGGCTCTACCAGATTTAAGGTATATTTATGGGAATCTTTAGGACCATTGTAAACAATCCCTTTTTACTGGCGTGCTAAGGAAGAGTGCCGCACAGTGGATCGAGTCAATACGAGAGGTCAGACACATTTGGATACTTTAAAAGCTTGTAAATCCGTTTATACAAAACTTCGAGGTTCTAAAAGTGGCTCCATTGGTTTCCTCGTAAAATTTTCTTCCTAGAGCGCCCCTTAGAATTTAAAATGTGACGAAATAAACATTAAAATTTGCAATTTTTGTCAAAAATTTTAAGTCCGACCTCTCTAATTGACTCAATCCACTGTGCACCAGATGTACATTCAAGAGTTGCCGAAATTTCCTTGATGAAACATATATTTAAACATATATATCCAATCCATGCATATTTTTACCTGATATTTTCAGATAATTTAGATCAAATTGCGTATAAAATTTTCGTAACATTTTGGGAAATAATGTTCACAATATTCCCAATAAATTTGGTTTTTATCCGAGGAAACTTGGCAACGTCTGGAGGCGTATACGGTGTTCTTCCTTAGCACGGCAGAGCAGGAGTTTGTACTATCGAAGAAAAGATAAATGATACTCAAAGGCCGCCCCTAAATTATGTAACACCGAGGGGGAAAGGGGGGATAGAAGAGTGCGTTACGCCATTTTGTTTTCACATATTGAAGGATAGGGACCTTTGTAAGTCTCAGAAGCGTTAGGAGGGGAGGGAAGACCAAAATTCCGAAAAAATGCGATACGTAATTTAGGGACGGCCTCTTACAGGAAAAGTGTAATCCTTGGCAAAGATATCCAGCAAAGTTTATTCAGAACTCGTATCAGAAGTTGTAAATTAGAAAATCCTAATCACGTCTAGAATCCTGTTACCGATTTCGCTGTTTACTTTGGGTCAAAAATCAGAATTAGGTCTTTCATGAAAAGCCGAAAATTGGCGGACGTATCAGATAACGGTACACTTTTTCCGTAAGCAAATGGTTGGGATGGCACTACGCTCTTCATTTGGGAGTATACTCCGGAATGGTGTAAAGATGAGAAAAATAAACAAAAGAAACTGGTAAAATATAAACTCAAACGACAAATAAGCTAAATTATTGATGAAAATTAGGGGAAGGGGGCAATGGACTACGAGTCAATAATCCGACTAATTATGCTAGTGCTAAGCTCTCTGAGCCCATGACATTGATTTTGCAGCGGATGCGAAAAATTAGCAACACGCAACCATCCTAATAATTGGTGAATGCAGTCTAATGGCAAATTAGCATGCAAAATCTGAATGGCACTTTTTTCAAGATATTAGCTAGTGAATGTGACGGATAGGCAGGTGTAAAATTTCGCTGAGCTTTCAGTATCCTATTAAGCACCTGGTGACCGGAATGAATAGTCTCAATTGTTTAAATTCCGCATTGTTGTTGCAACTTTTAAGAGTAATTTGAAACCGGCCTCAAAGTTTTAGGTATTTCCACTGACAAAATTTGTGTCTCTTAATCCGTCGCCCGCTTCATGTTGATATGAAACAAATGTGTTTCCCTCTGCTCAATCTTCTATGATTTCGATAGCGTGAGGGCTTGAATCAGCAACACTGTACTGTCACTTTTCGATTATATAAATGACACAAATTGTTGTTTTTTAATGCGGAGGAAAGTAGCAGTCAAGTCAACATTTGAAGAGCTATAATATGAATATTTCGGGAGGAAATGTTGAAAAATTCGAAAAATTATTATTTAAAAAAAAAACTGAGTATAACATAATTAAACAATGAAGAGTCAAAACTCAATTTTTGCTGTTACAATACCACTGTCAAACATTTCACAGAAGAGCACAACTATAACAGCCTGTAAAGTCATACAAATTCATGTAATTTTGGAGGAAAAAAAACAGGTTTCCTTACCCTGCTTACAAACTTTCAAGCAGTTACAAGTGTTGAAACGAAAGGATATCAAACATGAGTAATTGAGTAATCTATAACTTGCAAAATTCAACTGCATCTACTAAAAAAAAAAAAATAAAGTGTATGTTTCATTCAAATCTATAATGTATCTATCACAACTATTACATTCTTTAAATTTCGGCAAATCGTCTTAATTATCAATTAATATTGATATATCTATCTCAAATTTTACAATTTTTCTACGTTTTCACATTTACTATTTATTTTCTCTATCTAATTTAAGAAATCCTTATAATCGCATGAAAAAATTCATCCAAAGAGAATAATCCAGGAGCAACATGCTGGATGGAATTGATTAGAAAAATCAAACTTTGTTGCGCCTTCAATTTCGATAGCTGTAAAAACGGTAGCACGCCTGCAAGTATATCGAACTATGGAAGGCGCGACGTAATCGAGTGTTTACAAGCATACTGTAATACGGTATACGGTACCTCTCTTCTCAACTGATTTCCAAAATAGTTAGATCGAAAAGCGAAGATAACGGACGAATATACATTGTTTCAGATACGGCCCGAGCCGTCTTTTCATGACGTGAAATTACGAGCTTAGGGTTCGCGAAATATTCAATTTAATACATAAAATACAAATTCCGAAAGGTTCTTATCATGAATGAGATGATTTTTGTGTTGGGCCTACAATTAGCGAAAAACTTAATGGGAAGGGGGGGGGGTAGGTTTTTCTTTTACTTAATCTGGAAAAGTGCTGTGTATACTCAGCGGAAATGTACGTGATTCATCGGCCCGCCGGGGCATAGGGGGCCAATTGGCTACGCGGCAGCCAATGGCAGCTATGGCTTTATTTAACAGCCAATGAGGGGTAAGCGCAAGACGCACTGCTCCCTCATATGGTGATTGGCTACCACTACAGTCGCAAACGGAGATATTTGGTATCGCACCTGTGCCGCATCGCTTTATGCAGTTTCCAAAGATTTTTACCTGAGGTTGGAGAAATATTTCAGTGCTTGTAGATAATTTTACCCACGATAATTCTAGTATTAATGATTATTATTTTTGCAGGCGTTCTCGTACTTTTTTTTAATTTGATAGAAATGGATTGCATTTTGCAAGAAGGAACCAAGAGCATTCCATTGTTGCTATGATTGTTTATTCTTTACAGGAAAATGACTGAAAATTTGCAAAAAGTTAAATCTACTACGGTAATTCTCGAATTGAGTTTATAGTTTATTTGGAGTAAAGATTAAACTTGTTTAGGTGATCAGTTTATATTTGCAGGGTAAAAAAGTTGCACAATCTTAGAGACATTGGAATACTCGTGGTTCCTTTTTGCAAAATGCAATCCAAATATGAAACAGAGTTTTATTTCTGAATGAAAGCTCATGTATATAACCTGAGCCTTTGCCGTTTCTCTCATTTGACGAATTTAAGACTTGCTTTTCAAGACTTGTGTGTTGTTTAGTATTTTGAATTTTTGTATTCGGTTTTTGTTCCAGACCCGACGGTGGATTCGTGGTTCATGATGGGAAGTCCTTGGCCAATCCTCATCATAATAGCCTGCTATTTATATTTTGTCCTCAAACTGGGGCCGCAGTATATGGAAAATAGGAAAGCATTCAACCTGAAATATGTTCTCATTGCCTATAATTTAGCTCAAGTTGTTTATAATGCCTTAATGTGTAGTGTGGTAAGTATATTTGAGATCATTAACCCTTGATATTAATTACACAAAATTATAAAGGGAAGTACTTGTATATCATACTTTTCACCTCTTGGAAACTCAAATAACTTGCATAAAGATCGTGGTAAACAACAACTTCTCCAAAATAAAATGTGTGCAAAATTTGTTTTTGACAATATATTTATTTGACAGCATTAAATTGTTTTTGTGTAATCATAAAATTTTCTTGAAAAAGAGCGAGAGGAGAAAAGAGGAAGGTAAACCACTAGCATTCCACTAATAATAGCTTGGTCCCTTTCAGAATTTTCCCTCCACAAATTAATATAAGTAAAAAGCGGGCATCTCTGCATTGCAATACCTACTAAGATCGAGCAACTGAACCTAAATTTTTAGCAACCCAATTATTTATGCTAAAATCATTTCTTCCTGCGCAAAATTATGCCTAGAATAAAAAGAAAGAAAGAAAAGAAAAGACAAAAAAGAAAAAAAAATCGTGGGAAGTGGTGACTTCAAGAAATGTAATCAAATTGCTCCAATATTAAAATAAATTGTCACAGTCTTAGCAGATCGAATAGCACAGTCCCATTAACATTACTGTGAACTCTTTAATTGCCAGATGGTAACGTGAAAAACGCAATAGCCTATTCGCACTCGCTCAAATACAATAAGAGGTAACGGTCTTTATGTGTTGCCTACTGGTGAGCTTGAAGGCGATTTATACTGGCTCAGTCAGTGACTCACGTAAGGAGCTGGATTTCTAGGCGTGATGATGATTTGCATCATCTTTGAATTGAAGGCGCTTTAGGAATCGTGCTGGAATCTTTATTCTACTGAAGTAACGCACGGTGTCTACTGAATCCTTGATTTTGTCATTTTCGGTTATAATATTTTTTTCATTGAATTCGAACTCCTTAATTACGAGTAAAATTCATTTTTAGATAATGAACTACTTAATTATTTCTTCATTTGTCTCTTCTCAATGTGCTTCTCTCTTGTCTCTCTTGTCTTCTCTGTGTCTTCTCTCTTATTTTTTGTGTATTGAAACACAATGGTCAAAAAATAAGATCTCCCTCCTCTCAAGGAATAGTTCCCTATAATTAGGAACATAAAGACAGGCTCGCTTAAACCTGCCTCTTCAACCCTTCGCCATTAGGCATACTTATTTAAAACAAACAAAAAATTCAGCACCTATTCTGAGTTTCCATCTCTAATTTTCTAATTTCTGCCGTTGTTTTGTTTCAGTTTTTCTCCTCAAAAAATGTCATTTATTACATGTGGAATCATTCTTGTGAGCCCCTAAATCCTCATAAAAATCCTTTGACGTCAACGGTACGTATTTTGTGATTTTATAAGATTTTGTAACGTAACCCTCAATTTTATTGTAAGTCTATACGTGCGTATATGTTACGTACGTATAAAACATATTTAGTCAGTCTTAAATCTAGAATCGTGAGGTGCTTTTTAGGAGACAAAACCAAATTTCGTCGCTCAGAGACAGACGTCCTCTAATTTTTTGAGTCGACCAACAAATACTCTTTTCTCCCACACCCGTATAATTTTCATCAAACGTTGCATTTTCGTCAAAAGTAGGCAGCAAGCTTTTTTTCATAATTTTCTCAAGAGAATTTTATAATTTCTCTGACGACTGTTCAATTCATCATCTACAGCCAATTATGAACGAGTCTCATACACTGAGAAAAAACTATGGCTTATAAACCTATTAGAGGTAAATATGGAACACCACTAATAGTAGTACCTCTACATATAATAATAGCACATATACCTTAGTTATGGTCTCTGTACCTTAATTAGGTACAGAGACCTTAGTATGGTTCACAGACCGAGAATCATTAGTTTATTTACGACTATTATAGGTGTTCCATATTTACCACTAATAGGTTTATAAACCATAGCTTTTTCTCAGTGTATGTTAAACAAGCAAAGACTTCGCGAGCGACATTGGCGGATCCAGCAAATTGGCAACATTGTCTTCTCTTTATTTAAACCTGTGGAAATTTATCGATTCTTGGAGGGGCCAGGTGCTCCAACAAGAATCGATTATTTAGCATAGATTTAAATGGAGGGAATCCGGTGTTGCCAAATTGCTGGATCCACCTCAAGCGAGCCATTCTGCTATTTTGTGGAGAAGAACACAACCTATGTTTGATCATGGTGATGAGTACCCACTACCCAGGGTGCATACTCTGCTAGAAGTCTGTACTTACTAGTGCAATAATACGCACTGCTGTAGCTGTAACATAAACCTGATCAAAATGTTAGAATCGGATCATGGCGCGCATATAACTTGCATCGGACCTTCAAGGACCAGCAGTGCTGCAGGGCATGCTGCGAACCTTGAGGCAGGTTCAAGACGGTTTTTTGAACTTGCACTTAAACTTGCTTCGATTAGGTTACAACAACTTGCTGTTTTATCGGTGTGGTAGAATTACGTGAGTTCCATAGCCCTGAAGCAGAACGTAAGAAACCCCTATAAACTTTTCACCGACCTGCGATTGACGTGTGGGTTTGGGTCGTGCGGACACTTGAATTTAAATCTATAGCAGAACGCATGGTCTAAATTTATTCGTTTTTCACGAGTTTCCTCTTCATGACTCAATGTAGGAAAGAAGCATATCGATGGCCAAACTGCGAAACCCGTATCTCCGTTTGCAAAGTTCCAGATTTCCTGTCATACTTCATTTTTTCTTTGGTAAACTAGCCAACTTAATCTTTTGAAAACTTCATTGATATTTCATTTCTATTGGCAAAATATCCTGTAAAAATTTCAAATTATGTAATTGAGCTGTTTCTCTTTGAAAAATTAAAGTAGGAGCAGATATTTTCCATTACTGCAATGGAGATAGGTGGTTTTGCACCTTAGCAATTAATGCAGCGAAATGTTACAAAATAGTTCTTTGACAATAATCTGTAGCACCCAATTATTCTTTCATTGCGCACATTCTTCTGCAAGCTTTATCTTCTTAGAGTTCATTTCGTACTCTACATTTTATACAACTTTTTAAGTGCTAAATTGAAATGAAACTTTGTTTTTCAGGAAAGAAGTACAGCGTTTTTCTACTCATAAAATAAGGTCCAGATTTGAAATGCACATTTTTCGATTTCTTGATGCATAGTATTGGATAAATATGTTTGACTAAGTTAATTTTTTGAAACTTAAATGTATTTTACATTTTCAAATAATTGATTACATATTGATGGTGAAAGTCTCCAACCACGTATCTCGGTTTGCGACGATGCAGACTTCCTGTTATTCGTATTTTTTTTAACGGAAAACTATACTCAACGGCAATTCTTAAATTGCCGTAATTTTTCATCTCCATGCGAAAAGAATTCTGCGAAAATTCCAAGGAATGATGATTTTTTCTCCTTTAGGTAAATAAAATGGAAACGGAGATTTTGATTTTTTCCCGGAAACGGGATACGTTGTTACGGACTTTCATCGCCGACACAAACAATGACGATCAGTGATAATTCAATTTTAATTAATTTATCTGTTTCAGCTTTATCAAGTGTCCTGGTACTACATGTTCTCTAAATTTATAGATTTACTGGACACGGTAAGTGAAAAAATTTTCCTTTAGAAATATATACACGTACATAATTAAGGAAAACTAACTCGAAACTTTTTAAACTGTATTTAAATTTAGACAAAAGCAATCCTCGAATAATATGCACTATACTAGTTTAAAAATTACTGAATGAAAAGCGATCCCAGATGTGAGATCTTAACCGTCACGAAAGGAAAAAGAGAATTATAGGAATGTTAATGATGCAATTAAAGAATAAATGGTCAACCTGAGGCAGCTTGTGTCGGTTAAATTTTAAACAGAGCGGGTGTGTCTGAAATCTAGTTCACTCAACTTTGACCCATCTTTGCGGAAACTCGAGCATATAAGAGAGGCAACAAACTCCGGTCACCATCTGACATAACAGTATCCAAATATGTCAAAATTTAAATTCCTAACATTCCCGTCTGCATTTTGCGTGAATGTTGCTTTGTTTGAGTTTCAACTAGCCACTATTAAGTTGTTGAAGAATTGGGGAAAAGTAGTAGGAGATGGCAAGACGACAAAAAGTCTCGCGGGTGCCGTTGAATTCAGTGGCGTGCTTTGCGATATATCGATAGATCGGCCATTTAAACCCATGGAAAAGTATCGAAAAACAGTGTGTTCGCAGCGAACACCTTTATAATCGATTATTAACCACAGCTTCAAATAGGGACATATCGATAGATCGCAAAGCACGCCACGCCACTCCACTGGTTAAATAATAGCCAGAATGTCCCCGATGTAGGATCGGTCAACACCTTCTTCACTCCATTAAAAACAGGGAAAAGAAGGGGAGATTATAAAATCAATGAATAAAAATTCATACAATTGGCGAGGAATGTAAAGAGCAATGCTTTCAAAGCAGGAAAGTTTACAGTCATAACCCCTCCCCCCCTCCCCCCTTATAAAATAAAATAAGAAAATAATGAGAATAAGCCAGAACAGTTGGATAGCGATTAATACAATAGTAATAACACATGAACCAGGGCCGAATTAAGGGGGTGGCCACATGGGCCGCGGCCCATGGCAGCAAAATTAGGGGGCGGTAAATTTTGCAATTTTTTTAAATGCAGGTACAAAAATATCGGATTCAGAGTAAAATTACAAACAAGAAAAGGTGACAAAATCTCTCATTTCCTGGGAGTTAATTAATTTCTAATTTTGTCGTATTTCGGCGATACAAAAGACTGCGCACCCTTAATTTGTTGAGTTAGGAGAGAAACCAAACACGTAATTTGGCCTGGAGCGGCGCAGCGCAGAGAGAAATGATGACGAGGACTTGAGATGAAAAGGAGAAAACCTCGGGACGGCGGTCGGCATGTAACACATATTAGCGCCTATGAGACTACATGAATACTTCTCGCATTGCGTCAAACACAGTACGATCAACAGCGGTCGGCGCGGCGTGAAACGCACGGTGCCTACAAGACTACATGAATACTTCACGCATTGCGCCAAACACAGTGTGTTCAGCGCGGCGCGGCGGCGGAAATTAAAATTATTAAACCACATTTATGTTTGTTCTTTCTTAATTTTTTAGTTCATCTCTTACAAATGAAAGGCCTTGTCCACACAGAGATAGGTTTATGGAACTGAACTTTTGCATGAAGTTCCGTGAACTTTTGCGTGAAGTTCCGTGAACTTTTGCGTGAAGTTCCGTGAACTTTTGCTGGTAGTGTTGACAGGGCTTACGCAAAAAATGTGTCCAACACGAGTGAACGCGTCTTATGCACCCTTCTTTCTCCGGCACGTTCACTTGATGGTTTTTATTGATGTTTTAAAATGAATGAGAAGAGGGCGGCAAAATACAGGCGGCCCATGGGCGGCAAGTAGGTAAATCCAGCCATGACATGAACACGAGAATATAGAAAATCGGGTTGTCCTAAAAAACTGAAGTCAAATTAATGGCTAAAAGTGAGCTTATCTTACATCGTTTTCCCTCAATTTGAGTTCCGAAACCAATTAATTGTTAATGCACAGGACATTCACTTATTCCATCCGAGATTGATGTATAATATGTTATCGAATACTATCAGCGGGTCCATTTTCCCCATTCCTACTTGAGTGACTTACTTCACGAGCTGCTAGAATTGTATCTGAAGTAAAATTCCAATCTGATAGAAGGGCAAAGGTGCCATTGAAAAGATGCGAACACGCTGACCATTGAAATGATCAGCAGGTTTCTAAAAGTTTCTAAATATGCTCGTATTTTCTTATGCAATCGACAAAATCGTGAAGTATACGAAAAATACAGGCAAGAAGAAAGCTGTATCGTACAACATTACCTTTTGCAAATGTCTCAGAAATAACCTTGAGTTTCTGCGACGGAAAAATGATTTAGGTATTCTATGAATTATGAATATTAAGCGCATCTGGTAACGCCTCGTTTTGCACATCATTTTTGACAATCCAAGAGTCTCTGACCGTTCTCGTGACATTTTTTGGTCAGAGATTTGATGATTTAAAACGGAGCAACCGGTTGGTCAAGGAATAAGAGCCAGCATATAGTGATGTGAAGCCGAGAGAATGAGCTGTTAGCTGTTGTAGGCTGTATGAGACGTTATAGCTTCTTTAATATCGTTTTTAAAGATTCAAGTCTAATTTAAAAAAAAAAAAAAAAAAAAAAAAAAAAAAAAAAAAATCTTTAACATTTGTTACGAGTATTTCAAATTGACCTAGCGATAAAACAAAATCTCAATACATCTATTATGGTAGGTCTAAAAAACAGTTCTTTAGAATTTTTGTAACTGCATTGATTACTGGAAAAATAAATTAAGAAACCTAAGCCTATGAACGACCCTAGAATATAAATATTAAAACTTCTATGACCGTAGTCATGAAACGAATGAAACACAAAATGAACAGAACATACGATAAACTGACCGTTGTAAAAAATATTCCCCCCAAAAAATCCCTACTTTGATGGGTATACTGTAAAACAGGCTAGTAATATTTTGGCTTTCTGACAGCCTTGACGCGATTGATGGTTCAAAATAGATTGCTACTCTAAAATAAAGTAGCCTTAATATCGATGCATCATTGTACGAAGCGTAATCCAGCTTTTCGTTTCACACCGCAAAGAATCACAACGGCGCTTGGCGTCTTTATTTTCAGACTGACCTTCAATCCACGAAACGCTCGATAAAAAAATTTGCGGAAAGACTAAGCGAGCAAAAGTATGAGCTGACACAGTGAGCAAAGGGAATCATAAAAAAAATTCCCCTGGTGGCTTCCAGCATGATGTTATACATCCGCAACGGATGAAGCGCTTCCTCCATTTTTGAATACTGAGAAGAATGTGCTACAACATGAAGCTCTTACACTCTTGTACCTCTTGTACTTAAAATTAAGTAATAAGTGAACGTATTTCTGCTGAACGGAACTAGAGACATTATACTGCCGTGCTAAGGAATAACGCCGTAGGAGCCTTCAGACGTTGCCTTTCCCTCTATAAAAACCGAATTTACTGGGAAAATTTACTGGACGGGTAGCCCGCGACCGTCAGTGGCAAGACGTGAATGATCGATTATCGCGATATCTCCCCATCTGAAACTGTGGTAAAGAATCGATCATTAAGGTGTTCGTTGCAAACACCCTGTATGTATATCGATCCTTCTCCATGGGCCAAAATAGCAGATCAATCTATATATCGCAAAGCCCGCCACGCCACTGGCTGCTGTGCCTCGGAGGAACATCATATAAGTCTTCAGTTCTTGCTAAATTCCCTTTTGTAAGAGACAATTTTTCAGAGAGACTTATGAATAATACCATTCTTCCACTTTTTAGAAGAATTTTACTCGTAATTCAATGTGAACTCCCTGATAAATCTTGCCGAAAAATATCCATGACTTCCCGCAAAAATAAATATTTTATCGGGTAGAATTGACAACATTCGAATGTTCATGCGGCACTTTTCCTTAGCATGGCGGTATTATGAGCATCCTCAAATATGAATATTTCAATGTGGCGTTGAACCTAAAAATTACTCGGATGGGGATATCCCAACCATCAGCCACCGATGAGACTCAACGAATCTGGTTTTCTCTCGCCCATTTTTGCGTTTAAGATTCCCTAATATTCTCTTAGATTCTGTGGATTTTATTATGTGATCTGACAACCCTATAACCGTTCCTCAATGTTACATTCCGTCACTACGATTAAGGAAAAGCTTAGCTATTTTTTAAGATGAGTCCTGTATCCTTCATACGTGCATGATTTTTTAGATTGTGATGAAAATGAAGATACGTCTTTTTTGTTGCGCGCTATGATTCCGTCGCTCCTCTTGCGCGAGGGCATTGTAGCGGTTCCAGCAAATTGGCAACATTGTTTTTCTCCATTTAAACCTGTAGAAATGTATCGATTCTTGGAGGGGCCAGGTGCTCTGACAAGAATCGATTGGACGCACAGGTTTAAACGGAGGGAATCCGGTGTTTCCAAATTTCTGGGTTCGCCTCTGCGCGAAAGTGTATCTCTATCTCTACGTGCTCTCTGTTCTTCATATCTATACGCTTTCCAGAGTTCATGTGAAAACAGAGATACGCTTCTACGTCAGCGGAATGACGATTTGTCTGATTTTATTTGGAGGTGGATGCGACAACAATGCTGTGTGATTCTGGAATAATTTGATCGTATTTTTTGTCAGTTTAACCCTCTTTATTGGAAGTAGCGAGCATGAATGTACCCCACTTTGGTTTTTGTTCCTCTTTCTCTTTTCAAGTTTTTTGTGCAAATTGGAGAGATTACTCGGAAATCAATGAATCATGATCAATTTTTACTAAATGTCAAAGTGGTGGAAAATGCGACTGTTTTTATGGAACCCCAACCAAAAGAAAATGTGTTGAGAAGAGACACCCGTAGGGTGGCTTAGCTGGACCGCGTTAAACAGAAAGGAACCAAACCACATCAGCTTTTGCCAAATTCAATCGGGCAATTTAATTTTTTAGATGAAGACGGATGTGCGGATTTTTGTGCAAATTTCAATTAATTTTCTGCATGGTACGAAGCAAGTTCCTTAAAATTTCCAAAGGAATCCGCACAAGCGTTCTTGTGTAAAAAAATTAAATTGCCCAGTTGAATTTGGCAGTAGCTGATGTGACTTGGTCCCTTTCTGCTAAACGCGGTCCAAATGAGAGGTGACAAACTTCGTGGATTTGCTCTGTTGTTTTAGACGGACAAAAAAAGGTCCAGGAGACACGTGTCGTTTAATGCGTTCTCTCATCTCGACGGGTTATTTCAAAACAAATCTGGAGTTAGTTAGAGCACCCTGTTTAGTGTTGCCTCAAACACTGAAGACAGATCCTGAGTCTTAACTAAGAAATCAAATCTCATTAATTAGAAAATTGTAACCAATATATAATGTAACATTTTATGGAATGTTCATTAGCACAGCTTCAGAAATTTTCCTCGTGGACATCCCTACTCGTATTTTTCTTTATGACCAATCTACAAGTGCTATCAATCTTCTTTTTAGGATTGAGTGGTGTGAAAATATCTTTATCAGATCGAGCATCAGTCTAAACAACATAAAAGGGAAACTTCGCTGAAGAACCTTCGTTTCATTAGAGTAAAATAGATCTAATCTAGATTAAACTAATGTATTAAGAATCTAGGACTAATTTCTTCAGTCAACTGTAACATCTGGAGATTTTTTTTAACGCTGATTGCTTCGAAGTTGCACTATTTTTCAAAGCCGCATTTAATGTACTTCATGGGCAGATTCAACAAATCCGAAGGGGAGAAGATGAGGAGGTACATAATTTTTTTTTTTTCTTTTTTTTTTCTTTTTTTTTTTTTTTTTTTTTCTTTTTTTTTTCTTTTTTTTTTTAGAGTATCACTTTTATTAATACTTCCTTCACAGCGCCTCTAGAAAGTGGGCAAAAAAAAGAAATAGCCTTTTCCTCACTCTCTGTATCCACCATCTATCTGTTGTGGATTTATTTTTCGTTCTGTAAATCTTAAATTAGATAATAATTTTACAGATGAAATGAAACAGAGTTCTGGGAGCGTTAAGTAGAATACATGTTTTTATTTATGATGAGTCATAAAACTATATAATGTGTCTAAAAAATTTCATCCGTTTTTAACCATTTGTTGCAGGTGTTCTTCGTACTCCGTAAAAAGCAATCGCAAGTCACGCTTCTTCACGTTTACCATCATACCAACATGGCCTTATCAACGTGGGCCTACTTAAAATACTTGAAAGGTAAAAGAAGCTGCGTATTATTGAAGTCACAATGCAGAGGCATGAGAAAATTGTGCTTGTGGTCCTTAGGATAAGAGTGCCTTGTGTTTTGAGGAGTAATAAATTAAAATTATAACACTTCTATTTTCGTTAACTCTGAAATTGATTTACTTAAAGCTATATTGAGAGGTTATCCTTCAGTTTTCTTAAAAGAAATTATATTTGGAGAAGTACTGGCAACTAAAGAGTATTGACTTTAACATTTTTAGAAGTGTAAAATTGCGATGAAAATGATTCTTATAACCTAGAACTTGCTGACTTAGATCAATTGGAGAAAGATAATGCAAAAAAATGTCTGTTCTAATTCTTCCCTGGTAATACAACTGTTGTTTAAAAAGCACTAATCCAGCACACAACATAAGTCTGGTATTGTTTTTCGTTTTTAACAACGCTAGCTTGCAAGAGTTTGTCCGTTATTCTCCTTGTACTACATTTAAACTAATTGCCTGTGAGTTATGTGAGTTATGTGAGTTATGTTTATGTTTGAAAAGATAACTCACCAGGGCCGGATTAAGGGGGTAGCCACATGGGCCGCGGCCCATGGCGGCAAATCTAGGAGGCGGAAAATTTTGCAATTTTTTTAAATGTAGGTATAAAAAAGAAATCGGATTTAGAAAAATGATTACAAATAAAATCTCTCATTTCCTGAGAGTATAGTAATTTCTAATTTTGTCGTCTTTCGGTGATACAAGAGACAGCACCTTTAATTAATCGAGCTAAGAGAGAGACCAAACACGCAATTTGGCTAGGAACGGCGCGCGGCGCGACTGATAGAGAAATGATGACGAGGACTTGAGATGAAAAGGAGAAGCCCTCGGCGCGGCTGTCGGCATGTAACACATATTAGCGCCTACATTCATACAAGACTGCACGAATACTTCACGCATTGCATCAAACACAGTGCGGTCACTGCGGTCAGCGTGGAACGGATAGCGCCTACAAGAATGCATGAATACTTCACGCATTGCGCCAAACACAGTGCCGTCAGCGTGAAACGCATAGCGCCTACTAGACTGCGTGAATACTTTACGCATTGCGTTAAACACAGTGCGTTCAGCAGCGGTCATCGGCGTGAAACTATAGCGCCTACAAAACTGTCGGAATACTTCACGCATCGCTTCAAATACTGTGCGGTCTGCGCGGCGCGGCGGCGGAAGTTAAAATCGTTAAATCACATTTACGTTTGTTCCTTCATAATTTTTTCGTTTATTTCTTATGAATGGAAGGCCTTGTCCACGCAGAGATAGGTTTACGAAACTTAACGTCCGCGCAAAGTTCGGTGAATTTTTGCTTGTAGTGTTGACAGGGCTTTCCCAAAAAATATTTTCAACACGAGTAAACGCGTCTTATGCACCCCACCCCCGCTAGCACGTTCACTTGATGCTTTTTATTGATGTTTCAAAACGAATGAGAAGGGGGCGGCAAAATATAGGCGGCCCATGGGCGGCAAGTAGGTAAATCCGGCCCTGTATCTCACAGGTAATAATACCCAAACCTGGTAAAATGAAAAACCCGTATAATTTAAACAGATATCAAACAAAACTTTGGTGAGAGTAAAATTAGTCCTCGTGAGTAAACAAATTCTTCCTCAATTTTTTTTAGGTGAGCAGGGAGCTCTGATTGGCCTTTTAAATTCCGCAGTTCACGTAGTAATGTATGGTTACTATCTCTTGTCTGCTCTCGGACCGCAAGTTCAAAAATACCTTTGGTGGAAGAAGTACATAACAAAAATTCAGCTGGTAAGTCCTTGTCAATCCCTCTAAATTTTAATTCAATTACTGTGTTAAATGTTACTTTTACAGATTTTTTCATGAAATTGAGCGGAGAATGAAGGAATTTCAGCTCGTAGGAAGGCTACGGAGGATATGGGACTGTGGGAGGGGACAGAGGACCAGAGAGCGCTGTGAAAGCAACTTATTTTTAAGTTAAGCATATTTTTAAGTTTATTTCACTACATATAGATATGAGTCAGAGAAAAACTTCTACGAATATTCAATAGAACATACAAAATAAATCATATAATTACAAATTAATTAAATACAAAGTAATTGCCGGGGGGAACTACTATTAATTTAGCTTCATCCACCAAACCATACTTATCTGCGTAAGAAACTCCTGGCATGTAGTGTCTAATAGGTAAGTCAAAGACAGTTCCTCTCCGCAAAATGTAATCAAAATGAGCTGCTTCAAAGAAGTTATAATAAAATGAAATTATGGATGGGAGGACATGTTCGTTTATTAGTCTTTTACATTCTTCAGGCTTGAAAAAAACACTGAGCAACGCGAGGGTGGAAAATATAAAATGTACTCCTAAATATCATATTTCGATAAAAAAAATTGATATTATATCGTTGGAGGTGTTGTGAGTGATTCGTTTACTGCAAGGACAGCCGGTCTCGGATGTTGCCAACTAGAATTATTGACACAACGCGCAATCAAAATTCCAAACCTCGATTTAGTGTTAAGGTGAAGAGGTTTGATCGATATTAAATCTTGAAAGCACAATTGCACCTCCTGAAATAATAATTAAAAAAGAAACTCCTCCTCTACTTTGAATGAAAAATGGAGAAAATCTAATACGAGCCGACAAATGCGCTTTAAAATTGTTTTCCATTTGCGAGGTGTGTTTCTGCCCCGATATGGAATCACACCCGCGGATGGAGGAGAAGTGGGTGGGATTTGATTCCTGATGATCGAAAATTCCGGGACTGGGTTTTTTAGTACGAGTCGGTGAGGTAGGTTAGTGAATAAAGACCCTCCACTCCTCGAGCACTCATAGTCGACGAAAAATACCGGTCTCGCGGGTAAGACCTTGTCCTCCGTCGCGCCCCAAATCAGCTTACTCTTACGCGAAAACAGAAGCGGATCGAGCAATTTGGCAACACCGGGAACCTCCATTTAAACCTATGCTAAATAATCGATTTTTATTTTCCGGAGCATCTGGCCCCTCCAATAATCGATACATTTACAAAGGGTTGAATGACGAAACAATGTTGGCAATTTGCTGGATCCGCCAATGTGCAAAAAGAAATCAGTTATGGCTCTTACAATTCTCATAACTGATTTTAGGCCCAACTTTTTCTTGTCGAATTTTTAATAACAGTGCTATATTTCAGTGATGATAATTATTTCAGTTCCGGTAACAGTGTTTTATTGCTACCAAGACTGAAATAATTCTTAACACAAAAATAGCACTGAGGCCTAAAATTAGACTAGTATAATGTACATACAGTGCCCAGGAATATAAATCTGTAATGTAAAGAATACATAGGTAGATAGTCATTGATGTGTATGAAAAAAAAAAAACTTTGGTGCCGTAGACCATTGATGCTTGTGCTGTCGTGTGAAGGAAGAATGTTGTATGAACCTTGAGATGTTGTAAAATTGCATTTGATAAAAGACGAATTTTCTGAAAAACTTGTGAATATTTCTCCTCAAAATGTTACAAGATTTAATAGGCAGTTTCATGTAGCTAAAGTATTTGAAAATTTTAGGGAAAAATATTAGTAAGTATTCCGAGAAAAACGTACCTTTTTAGGAGAAATTTGGCAATTTTCGAATGTTCACACGAAGTTTTACTGGAGCACGGCAGGGGGTAAAACGCAAAACATCATTCACCATTCGATATAATATGACCATAGTCTAGATTTTTTAATGAAATTTGAATTTTCGAATCGGCTTTAAGTTATACTTGCAAGTTTGAAGAGCCTCTTTTGAAGAGAAACAAATTGATGCTGATAAATGAAAAATATCTCCCTTAGCTTTCCTTCTTTCACGAGAAAGTTCTGCGTATCTTAAGTGTAAATTACAGGTTCGATTTGCCCTCACTGCGTTTTTTCTTTATTCACTTCTTTGGGAAACAAATGTATAAAAAAAATTGTGTTTTTGTGAGGTGCATAATTTCTAAACTAAAATCTTGGCCATATTTACTTAATGCTATAAGCTCTCTTAAGAGGGTCACCAGAATTATGTAAATTAATCATTTTCCTCCTGATTCTGAACAAAAGAAGAAGAATTTATTGTAAAATTATAAAATCTCTCCCTCCCAATTAAGTATTAATACATAGAAAGTGCAGTCTACAACGTTCATATTTGCACCTTCAAAGTGAACTTCCAAGAAAGAATGGCCAAGAAGAAAAAACTGCTCCAAAGAAACTTTGCACTAGAAAAAACTATTTTTTATAAATAGCTTCCATAGCTTTGATAGTAGACGCGCTTTTCGGGTTACAACAATGAAAATCCCGACAACACAATTGGTACAACTATTTATAGAAACAAAAAAAATTCCTCTAATTCTTCAATCGTTCCCTCCCATTATTTTTGCACTAAAAATGTTTTAATTGGAATTCTGATCCAGATTAATGCAAGGAGGAAAAATGTACTACTTCTTTGATAGTCTGGTATGATACTACATATACTTCGTATAGGCAATCAAAATGCTGATACTAAATTTATTTTGCTCCTCCCTCAATACGAGTGTCAGTTCCTCCAGGAAAATAGATCATAATTTGGATCACAATTTCCACCGAAGCTTGCTTTTGTCGCTCAAGGAAAATTAACTGATTTGGAAAACTGGAATGGTTACTACCAATCGAAAACTAGTCCGTTCTCGACTACGTAGACCATGAACCCGTTCCGTGAAGTCGCAGGAAATTGCAGTTGGAAAAGTTTTCATTCCTCCAATCGTTAGAATTCATTAATTTGCCAAGGGAGGGCACGCTGCTCGATTTTTCCGGTTCATTGAAGATACTAGTTTTGCACTCGACCTCTACGAGTAATTACCTCGACATACACTCTTAACCTCCACCCGTAGCATAATCTTACATTCTCGCCCCTTGCCTGGAAAACTTCGACTTGAACCGTTAACAAATTACGTTACCACGTGTTTTATTGTTAGATGGAGCAATCAATGGACTTGCAGAGGGGTTCAAAACTCCGATCAACAATTTTGGGTTATCGTCTGAAATTCCAATTTGAATCGTAATTTTTAAGACTCATTATCTTGGAAAAGGCGCCTCATAGGGACACTAATTTTTTTCACCAAGAGCTTTCTTTGAAAGATGCTAGCACCAATAGATTGATTTTCCCAGTTACATGCTATACGTAACTTTTAGCTCTGGAGCACTGATATGCTAATACAGATCGTTGATTAGTTGTATCACTCACGTATTCACATCAGTGGCGTGGTGTGCTTTGCGATGTATCGATTGTTATGACATTTAAGCCTATGGAAAGAGATCGATAAACAGGGTGCTCGCAGCGAACACCTTAATAATCGATTCTTTACCATATGTTTAAATGGCATAACAATCGATATATCACAATTTACGCCACGCCACTGATTCACATGTCCATGGCCGAAGTGCGAAACCACGTATCTCCGTTTACAACGTCGCAGGCTTCCTGCGGGACTTACATTTTTCTTTGGATAACCAGAAAACGTAATTTTATGAAAACTCTCCTGATTTTTTACTCTGTCAGAGGAATATTCTGTATACAATTTAAGCTATAAAATTGATTTCTTTCTCTGCAAAGATATAAAATAGGAGCGGAAATTTTGAAACCCCGTGCTGGAGATAAGTGCTCCGCACTTCGGCCATCGATACATCGATGTATCGTGAGAGGAACGGCCTTGGATCGATATTCTCCTGCGAATCCTTGGCTCAAGTTTAGTAAGCTGCCGTGTTATAAGGAAAAACGCCGTATGAGCCTTTAGACGTTGCCAAATTTCCTATGACAAAAGCTGAACTAAACGGGAAAATTTTGAATACTTTTTTGTAACATTTTCAGACGATTTTGTTCGCGACGATTTGATCTAAAACATCTAAAAATTTAATCAATCTGAATAACTTTCCTAAATGTAACATGTTTCATTATCGGGAAAATTTGGCAACTCTCGAATGCTCATACGGCATTTTTCCTCAGCACGGCAGTATGGAGGGAGATCAGAACAGTGTAATTGCCCCCGAGATATACACAGAATTAGCATCATGGGTCATTTCCTCACGTGGGTCATGCTAAAAATAGATCATCATCTGATCTCCTGAAAACTAACGATTGAGATACCCACGTGTGTCTACTCTTACCGTCGTTAAAAGAAAATTCTTTAGACCTCGTGTGACAACAAAACGAGACAAAAAACAAGAGTAACAAAACTGGCCGAAATGAGCAAAAAATCAAGAGATTTAGTAAGTTATGTCCGCGGTATCCTTCAGTTTAATGATTTCTCCCAAATTTTTTATCAGCCAGGTATCCGCTAGGAACTCCCCCCCCCCGTCCCTTTCCATTTATGGCATTTCCTTTTTCTGTAATTGCTGACCATTCATAGAATACGTGACGCTAAAAATCGATATTTATTGAGCTCTCCCTCCAGTCCCCCCGATGCACCCGTGATTCAGAACTAAAATGTTTCAACAAAATTAAGTAACGCTCTGCTTGACACTACAAAATGGTGTTTTGAGATTCATTTTTGGTGAAAAATTATCAACTCGCATCAGTTAGTCATTTAAAACTCTAAAAAAATAGGTCATACGTGTCAAATACAGCGTCATGTGCTAGGGCCCTCGATTTCTCCCTCCCCTTTGTAACGCAATCGTAACGCAGGCATACACTCCGTCCCCTCCCATTCTAGAGCAAATCGTATTTTATGCATGATCGAATCCAAATAACGACCCAGTTAGCATACTGCAAAGAAAATATTGAAATAAAATTGCGATGTATTGCAGTAACATTGCAATTTTTTAACCATGAAATTCCAATATTATTACATCATTTGGTCAATAAATTATTAATTATGTATAATATAATAATTAAACAAGCTACATAATGAGCTCAATGTGTCAGAAAGGTGGGCAATATACAATGCAATGAAAAACTACAACAAATTTCAATTGTATTGCAATAAATTTTAATGAGAGGTTTTCCTCCAATCAGTAGATGGGCAGCTCAAACAACACTCTGGTGGAACAGCAATAATTTTACCATGTAATTGTAATTTATTGTAATCTGCGATACTTGCGCAGCAGAAAAAAAGGAAAGGAAAACCATAAGTATTGTAATGTTTCTAGTTTCACAAAGCTCATCCAAATTTCTACCAAATTTCTCTTGTGCACTTTTGTTGTTAGGCAAAATATTTCTACCAATCTGGATGTTTCCTCGGAAATTTGAAAATCACCTAGCGCGACACACACATACGCAGAAGAAAAAAAAACTGTAATGATGATTTTATTTTGTTTCAGGGCCAGTTCGTCATAATCATGACCTATCTGCTAGGGTTGCTCGTCTACGATTGCAAACTGCCGAAAGCCCTCACGGTCTACATGTTTGCCAACTGCTCGATATTCCTGGTCCTTTTCTCAGACTTTTACCACAAGGCCTATCTGAAATCGGCGAAACGGGCGGCCGAATCCGCAACTTTGACAGTCTTGCCAGTCTTGCCAATGGAAGGCAAAAAAATTCAGTAGAGCCTCGTTGAGCGAGTTCAGTATGTTCAATTGTTAATGATTTGGTACTATCACCAATGCTGTTTGACATGAGTTTTGCTAAATTTCGTTCAACGAGTGAGCAAAACCACATATCTTGCCTCCGTAATTCTTTCCAGTTTATTTGATTGTAATTTTGATATATCTGCATAACTGTACATATTTTACGATTTTACGGACAAACAACGCTCATTACAGATAAAGTTCAGGTCTAGTGTTTTGTGCTTAAATCGACCTTCGAGGTGCCTGATTCCTCTTAAATTACTACACCTTGTCGGTCCCTAACAGAAATTGTCTCACTCTTAAAACGTGTCATGTTAGACTAAACTTTGTCGGACAGCTTTCTAATTTTGAAACGCACCTGATGATCGCTCTAGGTTTATTTTGCTGCGGACGACAAAAATCTGTAGCGATGCCTTCAAGTTGGCATCACTGTTTGTATTCCATTTAAATCCATTAAAAATATCGATTTTAGGCGAGGCTGTATGCCTAACCTAAATTAGATTGCTTTACACACGTTTAAATGGAGGCAAATTTTCTTTTCAACTTGAAAGTATCAGCACTGACGAAAGTTGAAGTCAACGGCAAGGTTCAGAGACCCAGGTAGAAGCCAGTGCAAGGGGCTTGGACCCCCCTTCACCGCGAAAAAATTATTCACAAGAAAGGGAGATCGGCGGGTTTTGCCAAACTCCTACTTTACTTTTGATACAGTGATGCAGTATGGTAACTTTCATCCTAACTTTCATCAAAGTAAACAGAGATTAATCGAAACAGAATTAAATCGAAATAGCAAAATCGGTTTCCAAATGTGAACGATAGTCATATTACGCCGACAGTGATTTGGATGAAAGTTGCCAATAGTATACCATTGTCTCAAAAATCAAGTAGAAGTACATCGAATCATACAATTTGTTCATAGTTTGAGTGTGGATTGTTCTCCTAATTTAAGAAGTACTTTCCCTCGACTGTCTTTTGTATATATCCAGCTCTGGAAGGAGGTCCACCACGAGGAACACTTGGATTTGCTCTAGGTAGTGATTTTTGCGGTTAGAGAAATCGAACTTCTGTTGTTAATATTCTTAGTCATAAGCTATAGTTATTCAAAGCAATCCCGGTGAGGATAAAAATGTATGACCATCGTTTTTGTAAGCTCATCCCCATGAGCCAGTATAGTCTTGTTCAAGGAAGTTTTTTAGCCTGAGAAGTATCAAACGTCCTGATTTGCTTAATTCCTATGTTTCCGCCGAATGTCAAGTAGGGTGGTTTCACTTTGTTGAAAAATGTGTAAATATAACAGTATTTTTGTAAATTGTGATAAATTCAGCCACGATTTGGTGAGTAAAATTCACTGAATTTAGTGGGCTGATTCGATAAATATTTATTTAAGTTTTATTTATAGAATTATTGAAGTCAATTCTGACAATTTGCCTTATTTTCATTCTCGCACTGGAATCCCGGGTTTATTTTTGCTTAAGTATTTGCTTCTATTTATCCAAATGTGCTAATATAACATGAATTTACGATAGATAACTGATACTACGGTTAATTGAGTCCCACTTAACACATTCCGAATTAAAAAACCGAAGAAAATAAACAAAACACCACATTTATGTGTATCCATTCGCGTCTTCTTTTACGGATGAAACAGTAACTTAAACTCCTCTAAAATACTGGAATCTTATCTGAACGTGAAAATAATGGATATCTCGCTACTTGAACATCTGCTGAAATTCTGTATTTTCATAAATTCAATCAGAAAAAGAGTCAACTTGCATTCGATGTCCAGGAATTTTGGTTTCCGGGAAAGGTTTTGAATTTTGGTTATCCTAAGAATTTTTAATCGGCAGCTTCCCTGTGATAGACTGTCCGCGGTGCTTAGGCTTGTGGCGGAGTCTTGTTTGCCCTTTTATTCCTAGGCCTTTGTTGCGTTTTGTACTTTTTTTAATTTATAATATAGCTTTAAGTTCGTCAGTTTTACGTTCATTTTTAGTTAGCACAATTGTTTTACTTTAACGCATTTTTATTTTTAATGCCGTATTTGAAAAAAATCTTTGCAATAAATGATAATTTTATAGTAACTCTTCATATTTTACAATTTAATTTGCCTCTTTATATACTCTAATACGGAATCCCTAAATCACTTTTGAATTTTTTCTTTCTATAGAAATAATGAGCTACACACAACATTACATGCGATCATCTCCCTTGAAATACACCTCTTTGAATTGAATAAAACTGGCAACAATAGATTTGAATCTGTCGTTAGAACTCGTCAGAGACTACAGACAATTTTATTGCATCAAAGAATTTGCAATTTTTCAGGAGATGTCCCTTTTGTTTTATCGCAATTTAATGGATCGTATTCGATTGTGGTTCGATGTATCTCGTTTGGCTCAACACAATAGACCATGACCTCAAACAAAAATTTTAGTATTTATGTTGGAAAAGCTGCAAATGAACAAATTCCTAACAGTTTCACTTTTCATTGCCATTTGGTACTCGAAAGAATGAAAAATCAATCACAAAAGACCCATTTCCTCAGATTTCTATATTGACTCTTGCTATGTTTACATGTTGAACCAATCGACATCGATACAATCTCACCTGTTTGATGAATCGAATACGAACTATTGAGACAGTCATTGAGCACGAATAAAGTTGTGAAGGGGTGTTACCGTCATCAACCTCGCATGCATCGCAAGCCGCCATGAGTACAATTTATTTCAAGCTTGGGAGGGATACTCTCGGGTTTATGAGTGTGCGATGAGTTATAAATGTAAGAAAACCCGGAATTAAATCTCTTCTTGTGTCGGCTGGTGTCTAAGTATCAATACCGTAAAGAATGATGCAAATTTATGTCATAAGGCAGTTTTTCAAACGGCGAGAATCTGTGTGCCTGAAGAATCGGCACTTGGCCAAAAACTTCATTGTCAGCGTCCAGTGGCAAACGTTGCTTGTAATGAAGCCATCTCTGCACAATGGGTGACCACAAGGCATTTGCAAGCGCGCTACTAAAGCGTTAAAGTCACTTCTTGCATCTGTGTTCGGCCGAATAAGGGGTGACATTTAGGGTGATACCACTATTCGACCACGTGGGAGCTTATGTTGCCTACACTAAAAACTGAAGGCGAACTGACATTGCGTTAAAGTCACCTCTTCCTCGTGGGTAAAAAGCTATTTTTTGTGTGTGTTCCGAGTAAGATTGTCATTTCACTATGCTACCACTATTCGATTACGTGAGAGTTTGTGTTGCTTACACCTGTATTTTTCAAAACATCTCGTTTCAACAATTATTTCTTTAAATACGCAGTATTTTAAGTTTATTTCTTAATTCAGAGTTTCAAATATTCATTTTTCCACTTATATTTGAATTTAATTTACTATCCCTGCCAATTTTTAGAGGCCATGCAAACCCAAGTTTTTTTCGATTTTTTCCTATGAAAAATAGGGAAGGGGGGGCTTTGAGGCAAATGTTAAGTAATTATCTCGGGGGATGCATGTCTGTGCATTATGATCGCTCTACAAAGAGTGAGTGCATTTAAAAACAAAATGTGAAAAATTGCGTAACGTAATTCATTGACAGCCTCTTTGCTATGTAATTTGGCCTATAAATCAATTTAATAGAACAGCAAGAACTGATAAAAACTAGAGCCAGGGGGATTTACTGACCTACGAAATGTTTGCCCGAACGAAAGTTTAAATCACCAATGTGATGCAAATCTCTATTGTTTTTTTTATTTTAAAATGTTACAAGAAATTTAGGACTTCTGAGGGGATCGAATACCAAACCCCACTTTTTCACCAGAAAATGTGAAAAAAAGAAGAAGAAAAACTTGTTGAATTGAACTTGGGACCGAAAATATCGGACCTAGTTTTTTCTCCTATACAGCTTGATACACACCAAATGTTACTGTTTTATATCTATTTTTAAAACGCCGAGTTTCTAAACAAAGCGCAATTTTGCAAAGTAATCATTTCCTTTTTTTCTCCGGAAAAGTAATTGGATTGGATACAAATCCTGATATGTACATTAGACTCTGTCTTACCTCAGCTTAATTGGAGCGGACTCCGTCAACTCATCTCACATTCAGCGTGAATTTTTCGATTGAAATTTTAATCCTCCGCAGATTTCAACCAAAAACAACACCAACCCATCAAAATAATGAACAGACGCTCGCCATGTCTACTGATCTTTTATACGTTAGACAAATAGTATAAAAAATCATCCTTAAGCTTATTTTATTTCTCCTTGTTCGAGATCCTTGTGTTATTGATTGGTAGAAACAATGGAGTACCTACTTTCGCGCCAATTCAGAAAATTGAAGGCTGATCCCTGCATGAATTAAATTATCCTGAAAAAGAGTAGTTCTTTATGGGTGTCAGACAATATGCAGAGTAATTTTTCTTGAATAATTACGATGAAATAATCTTGAAGTACTGAATTTTTTTAAGATGTTTAGGTAAAAACAATGTAATTCAAGAGCAGAGAGGATATTTCTGGGGAACCAAACTCCGCAATTATTAGCCCTACAGGTAAGTAATCTCTAAAATTTCGGGTTGGCTTACATTGGTTTTGGTTAGCTCAAAGACGTGAATTTGAATTTACTGAATCTTGTGTAAATTATGAGAGTTTATTCATTGCTCATAAAATAATTTTGAATATTCTCAACACACTCCATGTGTTTTGCATAAAAATTGGATAAGCAACATGTAGGAAGACTCCTCATTACTTACCTTGTCTATTGATACATTAAAAATTTTATGCCAAGTAAAATGTCCGTGTTGAAGAGCCGTAAAATACGCATAAATTGATATTGTCACCAATCATGTTCTTCATATCATCGGCTAGGCCCCCAATGCACATATATTATATTTTACGGCTCCCAAGCTTAGAATTGTTTTCATGTTTGCAAACAATGTGTGCCTATTAACAACTCAATTGCCCCTGAAAGAAAAAATCAATCAGAATTCGCATAAAATATTTCCTCGCCATTAAAATAATACAGACGAAAAGGTAATTCTCATAGTCATGGCTTGCACTTTCTGAGCTTTCGAGGGACACGGTTTACGCGCGTAGTACGCAGAATTTATGTAAGATCGCACGATGTAAACACAAAACCTAACCTCGCATCGGAGCTTTGGTTTAACGCACCAAGCAAGCGTCAGCTGATTGTGAATGGCTCCGATTATGGAGCCGTATACTTAGCACGTCTAAGCTCATCTATGCATTTGTCGCACATTGCCATGAATCAGGAGTAGACGCGGGATGCCCGTAACAGAATCATGTCGCACCGCGCGCGTAAACATCTTACGTGATGTGTTACGTCAAGGCATAAATCACAACACCGTCACCGTTAACGCAATTAATCCAAATAAATTAACACAAAATGGAATACTCATCAAGTTTGCAGGAACAGTGGACACGTCTTACGAACCAGTGCGGAAAGGGTGGGTTTCTGCGAGTCATGAAAATGTTCGCAGGCGTGATTGAAAATTGAAGATTGGACGAAATTCGGGAAAGCAAAAGTAATTTCTGCTTCTTCTTCTTCTTCCTCTTCTTCTTATTCTTCTTCTTCTTCTTATTTTTCTTTTTCTTTTTCTTTTTCTTTTTCTATTTCTTTTTCTTTTTCTATTTCTTTTTCTTTTTCTATTTCTTTTTCTTTTTCTTCTTCTTCTTCTTCCTCTTCCTCCTCCTACTCTTCTTCTTCTTCTTTTTATTCATATCTATATACTTGACAATTCGACATGCTCGGCGGGTCCAATTGAATCTCGCTGGTCTAACGGATTAAACCGTCAAAACTCAATTTTTTCAATAGTGTAGCTCATATTTTTCCGTAAGTGAAGAGGACCGAAAGCGTTCAAAGACACTCCAGGAACATGAGGGACATTTTTTCATTTCTAAAATATATTTAAAGTGAAAAAACCATAAAAAAAAAACAAAAAAAAAATTAGGAAAATATATGTTGGTTTGGCCTTTGAAATCTGGCTATAAAATTTTTTTTGAAGATGGGAAAATGTAAGGCATTGAAAAGTAAACCTAAAACAATGACACGGACTTTTCATCCGGAGGGCATACAGAGGCTAATCCCAACAAATCTTCTGAACATGGCGAATCTCTAATGAGCTGACGACATTTTGGCCGCTAACATATTAACTTAATTGACACGCTCATTTCCAATTTTGAGCTCTCACACCACGAGCACCGTAGAAACCAGTGGCGTGGCGTGCTTTGCGATATATCAATTGCTTTGCCATTTAAACCTATGAGAAAGGATCTATAAACAGGGTGTTCGCAGCGAACACCTTAATAATCGATTCTTTACCATAGCTTCGAATGGCGAGATATCGATAATCGATCATTCACGCCACGCCACTGGTAGAAACGGTTGCCGACGGAGTCGTCACAAATTTTGGCCGCACGGACCACAGAATATCCGGCAAATATCCGGATATCGGCGTTCCGATAGTCAACAGTTGGGGATCCTACTGTGAACAGCGAGTAATCCAATCATTAGGTGGGCCTTCCTATCATCAGCATCGGAATCCAATCACCAGCATTGGTAATTCAATCACCTACATTGGTAATCCAATCGCCGAAAAATGACAATCTACGATTCTCGTCGGATGCAATGCACTGGCAAATCCGTCGATAAACATGTTTCCAACGCACAATAATTTTATTTCTGATTGAACAACCATGTCGCATTTATGTGATCAATTTGCTTCTCATTGACACGAGTAACTAGACGTGATGAAGGGTTGGATTCATTTTAACAAACAAAACAAAAAAAAATCCTATCAACAAGGGATTTTTGTATAGGAAATTGCTGAATATGTCGTGTTAAGGGAGAACACCCTACAAGCTTTCAAGAGTTGCCGAATCTTCTGTCATGGAACATGTATATTTGGGACATTTATGCATATATTTTTCCTTGAAATTTTCTGATATTTTAGATTGAATCGCAAACAAAAATTTCAGAGAGGGTGGGTGGGGTCCTGCTAAAAGGTAGATAGAATGCATGCAAAAGGAGATGGAATTATGTCAGCTTTTGCAAGATCTTTTTTGACAGATTCCTGT